CCCCCCAAGGATGTGTGCTGAGCCCCCTCCTCTTCACTCTGCTGACCCACGACTGCACACCGTCACATAACTCCAACCTCTTCATTAAGTTTGAGGATGACACGACTGTAGTGGGTCTCATTAGCAACAGAGATTAGGCAAACTACAGGAGCGAGGTGAGCCGCCTGGCCGGGTGGTGCAGTAATTGATTTTTCCGTACGTTTCTGCCATATGTACATTAACTGACAGTCACCACAGATAAGCTACCACTAAATATTGTAGAAACTTAATTTGCTGTAAAGTTGCTTTGCAATGATTTGTATCGTGAAAAGCACTGTACAAATAAACTTGAATTGAATTTAATTGAATTGAATGCCTAAATTTGCAGAAATTCTACAAATGTGCATATGGGGAGATGAGCTGAGTTTCATTGTTCACTTATTGTGTGCTTAGTATAGAGAGTATTTCAGAGCCTTTGAGTTGCCTTTGAGTTCTTCACCTGGTAAAGAGATTGCCCTGGTTTGGCTTGAGGAGCTGACTGATTGTTATCCACTTGTGGCCTATACAGCTGGTTCCAAGCGTATGGTAACTCTGAAGAGACATATTGTCATCAAAGGTATGATTTACATATATAACTTGCAGTGCCATGTAAAAGTATTTAGTAACTTTTACATGTTAACATTTTATTTATTAATGAGATAATTCCTATCCTATTTGGATCTGTGTTCTAGATTAAAGCAGGATGGCCGGACCAGTTAGCTTCAGAGTCCTTTTTGGAGGTGAAGATGATGCAATAAATATAACCATTACATCTAGAATGCCAACATCTGTGGATGAATTGGCTCTTGAAATTAAGACCTTCTTTGGAGTACCAAAGCACTTTAGGCTTTAATACAAAGACATAGAGTTTGGAAATAAATTTATTAACCTCTTGTCAATTTCAGACATTCAAGATTGCAGTACTTTGAAAGTGGTATATTTACCTTGTGAGGCATCCAGCTCTGTAATATCCTCAGCTCCACCCTCTGAATATACCTGCTCCACAATCTCAGTGACCCCTCCGATGCATCTGCCAGCTCCTCATCACAAGACCCAAATGATTCTTCATCTGTTGGCTCATATATCAGCAATGATACCATTGTCATCTCCAGAGTCCTGGTCTTGCACTTGGCCTAAAGTCTTTGTAGTGCCACACTTTTCATATTGTGCCGAGATGCAGCTCCAGAAGGGAAATGATGATTTCAATGTGAATGGAACTCCTATCTCTTACCACAAAACTCAGATCTGATATTGCCTTGAAGAAGTAAATTGGGTAACACTTTTGTATAGGGACCAATCCTCACTATTAACTCGTTGCTTATTAGCATGCCTATTACTAACATATTGGCTGTTTATTAGTACTTATAAAGCACGCATTCTGCATGACCATATTCTACATCCTTAATACTACCCAATACCTAAACTTAACAACTACCTTACTAACTATTAATAAGCAACAAATTAGGAGTTTACTGAGGCAACAGTCATTGTTAATTATTTGTTAACAGCGAGAATTGGACCTTAAAATAAAGTGTGACCGTAAATTTCATATCCAAGGGATGATCAGTTTGAAAAGGTTGCTGAGGCCTTGATACAGACCCATCCATGTTTGCGTGAGAAAGGAATTCCCACTGGGTGTTCTGGATGGAAGCACTACATTAAGATCAAGATGATGAACTTCCGCACCAAGCTCGGCTCAGCTGGACACCCAGAAGTCATTGTCAACTCACTTATAATCAAATAGAATAGCCAGCGGAAACCAGCTGCAAACATAAAATAGCCCCGGAGGGCAGATGTTAGTTTCTGTCCAAACCATCCAAAAGGTGAAACCACAGACAGCAAATAAGTTTTTAACTATGTATTAGGATTATGTGCTTTTTATATTGAAACATCTGAAATTCAAAATCAGTTCCATTGTTGGTAATCTGATATATTGACTTTTCTAAATAAATCAATATTCTTTGTAGCATATACTTACACGATCTTGGAGGTTGTCCCGCTATACAGATCTATCAGAAAAGATGATTGAAAATATGCTTGAATTAATTAGATATCTGTAAAAGAGAAATGGTTTTAGTTAGAAACAAAATGCATTTAACGTTGTTATCATTACTTATAACCCTGAACTTCTTTTGCTTATGAAATCACAAAGCCAGCATTCATGTTTAGAGAATTGTTAGAATAGTACTGGTTGCAGTAGTTTATGATTGTCTTTATTTATTTGCTTTCAAACATTAAACCATAGAACAAGAGTCGACCAATGGTGTCTGACTGTACAGTGTGCCACATTCGTTGCGATTTAATAATCACACCAACTAATGAGTAACATTGTTTCAAATACTCATTAACTTTACTCAAATTTGGCACTTATCGACTGTTAATATTGGACCCTGGCTGAGATGTTAAGGGTGTCTTGCACACAGCCACTAGATAGCATCACTAGCTAGTGCTGCTGGAAGCGATCCATGTACGAATATAAAAAACACAGCATTTTGCAGTTTTAGTTATAGTTCAAAACCATTTTGCAGTTTGAATGAAGTTTGAAGGTAACCCCACCCCACACATTTTTTTTTAATCTTGGATTTACCCAATGCACGTGGGTCACTGTCCTATTTAGGTTGGAAAATAGGGAAATAAT